ATAAAAAGAGTATATACTGTAATACTCACTCATTATATTCAAAAATTCTTAGTGCAATGAAACTAAATTTCCTCGTTAGATGAACTTATTAATAAACTTTAGATAATAAATGTCACTGGCCTGGATAATAAAAGTGAGTCTTGTTAAATTTAAGACTTTTATTAAATGTGATACTGTATTACTTTTTTAAAGAATTTTTGATTGTTAATAGTTTATTTTAAGAACAGTAAAATACATATACAGTATATAAATAATACTTAATTGCAAATATATATTAAATATATTAAAGTTTTACTGTAAAAATATGAAATTTTAGAAATTGAGTCATATATATGTAATCGAGATTACTTTATATAACTACAGTTTAGTAAAAGCCCACTCAGTCAAAGAATTAACTTCTTTAACAAGTAATTCACTTTCAGTATTTAAATAATCCACTTTACTATTTAACCGATTAATTTCTGTAAAAAAATATTTCTCTTTCTACATTCCAAGATGTACAGTACATGGATTAATTCAAGCTGTCATGTTTATTATGCAATTCTTCGAATTCGCCACCTAAGTTTTTTACGTATGAGATGACTTTATGAAAATAAATAAATGTTAGCAAACTTATAGCATAATATCTTACACGAGCACATGATAACAAGAAGAAGTACTCGTTAAGACATTCATGGTTAGATATGCAATAGTATATCGTGTGTCTAGGGAATCTTCTATCGGAGATCTTATCTTTCTTTAACGAATCATAAATTACAGTATAAAAATTTGAAATAATTTTATTACCATTTTGCAGTAATTCTATTCTGGACGCGCTAGCACTTGCATAAGATGTAGAGGAGAGGAGCTCGCGCCTTTTCTTCTCTAATCAGATAATTAAAGATTTAATAATCACCTTATTATAAAGAATAAATTACGTAATAATAAAATTGTTTATACCTAATGCATTTATGGCTTTTATATTTTTCTTTATTATCTGACATACTCATGCTATTAGATGATTTTAACTCTTGACGAGTTTATATGTTGTGAGACCCGAAAAGCGGTTAAGCTGGGTCCGGAACGATACACAATATAACTAAATATAACGTGACTACGGGTCACGAGAATGATCATTTCATAAATTGCATATATGCCATATATTAAATATCTGCCATATATCGCATATATTGCTTTACATTTATGCAATATATGAATTAAATACCATATATAAGATTAGTGATGTGCCGCGTACAGTACTATACGTACTGTACGCACGTACTGTACGTACTGTACGCGAAAATTTTTGCT